GTATTGCGTACCCCTTGGGGCATGTCATTATCGTGGACTAGTCTGCGTACGTAACGTTACGCAAAGACTACCTTGTATGACTATAAAAATATGCCAACGTTCCGCAAAGACTACCTTGTATGACTATAATGATATCACGCTTCTGTATTGCGTACTTGGGGCATGTCAATCAAGGGCTAATCAGCTCGCTACATTTCCTGTCATTTACAATATTTGACTCGAGTATTGGGATTATTATTGTTATTAAGTTATTGAAAGGCCTGTGAATTTTTTCATATCAAAAACATTATTAATGTATGTAACTACCTGGTGGCTAATAACGTTATATAATAACATTTTAATTAATAATATCTTAATATTTAATAATGAATCAGTGAAGTCCATGACGACTTGCCAGTCGTTCTCATTTGACCGTGAAAGATTAGCGAGAGAAGYCTAATAGTTACACTCTAKATCTATTGTTTTCTTTTTCTTTACCAACAAATACTAACTAAATATAAACGAATCTATAAATGTAGTCAATAGTTAAAGTACAGCTATAGACAAGAATAGTAATGATTTAAAGATGTAAAGCAAGTTGCAAGTTGTGCAAATTTGCTTCATCCTGGTCATGAAATTATAAAGCGTGCTGGTCTGGTTGGACGGACTGATCAGAAAACAAAAGAAAGCAGCCCTTTGAACCAGCCTTCTTCATAAAATCTGATCCTTAGAGCTATTTACACGAGGAAGTGTGCCCCTAGGTAATTGGGCTATCACTTTTGGTTTCATTTAATAAAACAAGAGTTATCCCTACCATTTATGGGTGCCCTACCTCAGATAAACAGGGTATAATCATTTTACTAATTACCGTTATATTTAAAAACCCGTGACAAATCAGAATCCTYTTCGATTGGCAGTTTTCAGAGTGAAATACCAAATACAAAAATCAGAAATGTTTAGAATTAGAACATTAGTTGAATTAATATTTTCAATGTACATTATTAAAAGTTTATGTTATAACTACTCTGCAACGCACCCCTTGACTGGCTGAAACTGTGCAAAAAAGGGTGTTCCTAAGAGAGCACAGAAACWCAGCACTTTCAATCAGTGGTTATCTMTTCATGTGTTTGTTATTTTATAAAACCATTACTGAAGATATTTTCCTTGTTTRCATTAATTCTCTGTAAGAAACACTTGGTCTTAGAGAAGACTTGAAAAGGTTTTATATTACGAGCTGAAGACGAGTAGTGATTCCAAACCTTTCTAGTATTCACCGTACAATCCCTTGTGTTTCTAACAGAAAATTATGGAAACATGTGAGATATCCTCTTCTAATGCTTAAATACTGTATTGAACTTCGAAAATGTTAAGTTCTGTACTAATTCAACGACTAAATGACTAAATTAATTGTTTTGTTTGCTTTCACATTCAAAATGACGACTTGATARCACACAAGCCTCTTATCCCTAGTTAAACTCGAAAATTGGCGATTAAAAGAACTTTCATTAGCGCGCCAACATATCACTCGGTAATCCTAGAAACGACAGTATAAATACATTAAAGGATCATACTACAGTCGTTCATCTGAAATACCCTCTTCTCAATATTCACTTTTCAGTTGAAAATCTTAACGATTTTAAAATTTGAATGATTCGAGGGGAACGTTTGAAACTACAAATGCACTTTTGCTTGCCATTGGTAGCCCTTCGGCGGCGTCTGAGATGTTCATTTAGAGGGGGTGGAGCAGTTGAATTGTAGTGCAGTTTATACTTCTAAATGGTAATGTTTTTGAAGTGAAATAACGACAACATTTTGCAAAGAGAAGTAGTGCTTTAATCCTTTAAAACCATTTTTGAACTGATATGSCCATTGGATAATACAATTATAACTTTAGCATGAGAGCAAATGAAAGTCTATAGTCTACTTGAGGAAAAGAAACTGTCGACAAAATCCAAACAGAAAGTGGTAAACATAGAAAGTGAAAAACGATGGCATTGTGTGTATTTGTGTCATCGTTTATGGTTCTCGCTAATAGTTTTATATCTAGATTAACTACTTAGTGTCAATGCTTTRACACAATCAATGAAAATAAACTATTATATTTTATATTTTAGCTTAGCTGCACCTGCCATTTTACTTATTGAAAAACCAACTTGTAACACCCCAAATTCGCCTTGTTTTTTTCACGAATTAAGAAACAATTTCCRATCCACTAACTTGTTAATACGYGAATGAATTTAAGCTTCTATAGCATCAGGGTTATCTCGCGATCGAAGGATGACAGATACCCTTCATTAAGCTCTTACAATGACTGACATCTTGAAGAGATCGTTTCTTAAARTTGTCAATCAAGAAAAAATGTGCGTTTTGGTCGATTGAACAGAAACCAAGAAAAAAAAAGACAAACAYCACCATCGTGATGGCTAAAACCATAAAAAGAACTCAAAGACTCAGATAATTGAAAAATCAGAAGCTTTAGGATTACGACAATAAAACTGCGCGCTAAATCCCATCAACTGTACATTACCTTATCCATACAAAAATCACTTTCTGTACGTGATAACTATTTGGCTCACAATTAAGTATACACAAAGTAGTATACATATATATAGATTCAGCACAAAAATAAGAAAKCGTCGATGAGAAACTGTTACACAAACATGTTGCCACTTTCACAAGTGAAATCGTGAATATGTGGTTTGAAAGGTAATCTCGASAAGGAGCAAACATTGCGAGTATTAATTTCGTTAGCGAGTGAAGCAGAGATATTCATATTTCCATTACTGCAAGACCCTTTCAACACTCATAACACAGAAAACCTATTTGCAGTTTAATTATACGAGCTGGGAGTTTGATACACCATTTMAAAGACTCTAAACGTACAGCGTTTAGTGGAYTAAAGCGCAAGGCTGATGTTTACAATTTTACGAMTTAAAACCGTCACTGACAATGAAGAAAGACTTCCTCAAAGCCTCATACTATCACCGTTAGACGTCCATAGCGTAGTAAAAATTATTGTAGTTTGTTTTCATTCGATATTTCGAAGTAAAAGAGTTTGAAATTATGAATATGTCGGCAACCATTTACACTCGGATGTACGTGAAGTGTGGACTCATAAAAGCATCTTTGTACGCCGTTTATTTCTAAACATCCGAATATTGTCTATTTTCAGCATGCGTTCGAGCAATTATTACAACGGCAAATAACTAGATAATGAGCTTGTTCATTTTTTTGAGCATTTTTAGCACCTTTAATAATAGAAAACAACGTCTAAAGATAATTTCAACCACGGCAGCAGTGTTCAAAACTTTGACTAGCAAAAGAACACGAATACTATAGCATAAATATCTCAATAGGAAAAGGCCCTTACCTTTTATAGATTCCTTAACTTCAAAAGTGATAAATTACCAGCATAAAACAGTTTGGTTCCGTGGGTTAAATGTTCCGAGTCACATACAGTGCTCGCGTGCGAATTGTGGCCGGAGTTGAGCCGTGTTTTTGAATGGCTGACCCCTCCTCCACTCATATGCTAATAAAGAAATCAATTCCAAAGCCATTAGCTTAATGGAACGGATCAACAACTGGGCGTCTTTGGTTTTCAAATTGTAGACAAACTTTCATCCGTGAAATGTAGATTCAAAAAAGAGTTCATTGATCGCAAATCGAGGGTAATGTTTTATATTACGTTTTCGGGTATTTTTTGTCACCCGAGGTATGTCGGCAATTGAAATCTTATTGTGGGATTTTTTACATTGGTTTCCGGATCATCATGCCTTAGATTAAAGATCGGTATTCATGATATATGTACATATTACAAACAAGCTACCTGGACAATGCTCTGAAGGAACTATAATCGTTGGGGTTCAAAATCGAATATCGTTGCTTCATCAAGTCAGACGAACGAAAGGGTACATGGGAAATTGCCGTCACTAGAATATAATTAATTCATTAGAGCGATTCTTAAGCTCAGTCGTAGATGAAAAAAATTTTAATTCTAAACTGATCTCATCATCAGATGCTGTTTATTTTATTAATACAATAAATTGTTGTCTTTCCCATGTACCCATTCGGTATAATAGCTTCTCTGATTTGAGCCCGCGGCAATGATTGCCCAATACTCCAATTTCGAGTTCTGGTTTGCTCTGTGTTAGCCTCAAAACCAAGTAACATATTCTTTTGTTTTATTGATAGCCCGAGAAAATGCATGGAATTCGAAAAGAAAAGAGAATGGAATTGATTTGAAATCTCACACTTTTATTCTCACAATTAGGAATATTTTGTGCACGAATGAGGCTAACACAGAGCATTGGAGAATTCGAAACTGGAATATTCGGTTTGCGGTAGCACATGGCCAAGAATCCACTGAGTAATAAAGAACCAAGCTATCGCCGCCATGTTGGATGACAGAACAAGAGAAACTAAAGAGGAATGCTTTGTTATCTTCATCCAACATGGCGGCGATGACGTAACCTTTTAAGGTGTTAAAAATCACTGAATTTTTTGTACGTCATGATACCATTTAAAGATTAATTATTTACGACTCATATTAAGTCTTTAAAAAMGCTGCCCTACTACACTGCATTAAAAAAGAAAATAACCAAATAAATTAGAAAAATTAGGGAAGCCATCCACCTCACATTTTACGGTTCCAAAATATAAAGATAGGATCATGATATAATCAAATTAGATTCAAACGGGACAGCTTATTCCGAAAAATAACTACACTGCAGCTGAGCTGCGTTCATTTTGAAGGAAATTTCATTTTCTGCAGCCTTAATTTATCCATTAAATATGAAATCCTTTGCTTGTCTTAATTTCATTGAGTTATTATTGTGATAATTATTATCATTCTTATCATGATTCTTGAAGTTATTATTTGTCGAATAATATTTATCTATTGAACTGATGYGATCGATGGGTATTATGGGAGTTTTTCTCAAAAACATCGTACGCACATCAGATTGTCCCATTATATTGCAGCGAAAACGGCGTAGAATTTATCTTAAAACAATCACAGTCAATCTTAATGCTCATTCTTTTATTCTACTAACGACTATGTTATTAAGTCAGCCATCAATTCTCAGTTGCTGCGATTCAACTTCATGGCCAACGTTTMTTTACCAGCCAAAGTTTTCTGGGTTGTCAAGGATACCACCAGTAGATCTACGGCGTCGTCTTGCTCCAATATGTTTACAACCTTCTGGTTTTGTGAACTTGGAGGGTTCAGCTCCCAGACTCACGCCAGTCATGCTGTGAATGATATTTCATAATTTTATCATTATATGTTAAATAATCCCATTAGATTCTAATTAGCATCCAATACCACTACCACTCTGGGTTTAAACATTTATGACAAACAAAAAAATGTTGTTGATTTTGGATAATGATATTCAACTGCCTCATCTCTCTCCACACTCCACCAGTCCACAACTCACTAAGCATTTTAGACGGAGGGCCCCTTCTCTACGTCTAATAAAAGAACCCCAAGAAATAGCAAACCATGGATGCTCCTAACACCAGTGACTTTACCGCTGACATGCTTCACTTGTCCATCAGCCCATTATTGGAGACCCTAGTGGAGTACCCAAACTTTACAAGAGACGGGGTGGGAGTGGTGTTTAAGTCAAGTTATAATCAAAATGAATGGATTTGAACAKCGTGGCAATAGAAATTTCTTTAATTTTGGAACCAGAGAAGGGCGTGGTTAGTTCACCATAATCAACCCCTTGGATTCGCCCTGAACTCCCTCAATGTAGCTAACTACTCCTGCTTTTGTAAATGAGATCAAACCATTAAAAAATCACGATAAAGAAATGAAAGAAAGTTATAGTGCTTAGAAGGAGGCAAATCCGGGAGAAAGACCCTTAGGAATTGCCTCCTTCTAAGCACTATAACTTTCTTTCATTTTTCTTTATCGTGTCTACTATAGTGTTATGCGGTCCTCATATTCATATCTTTACATTAAAAAATCAAAAKCACTGTGTTCAGATACCTGACGTCAACGATTGTGTCATGCGCAGCGGCCACTGAGCTTGTGAGCATGCATCCATCCCTCGTGACGGTAGCGAGAAATTTGGCTGAAATGAGACGCGGTGAAACACGCAATAAAAGCAATGACATTAAGCCGCTCAAAGCCATCTAATAATTCTTCTCCTTGGCTTTTCTCCTTATCAAGTTATTAAAAAWTTCAATAAATTTAATGCCTTTTACATACTATCGATGACCCGGCAAAACGCTGAAAATCAGTAGCATTTCCGAGAGTTCTAAATTTTCTGGGGGAGAATGTAATAACCCCCGCCTTCGATGGTCGCAAGCCCCCCAATCCAAAATAGGCGGAGAAAGGCCCCTGTAAAGATATGTTGATCAAAGAAGAAAGGCTTGGACWTTTTGTACAGGTAACTTGAAGTCAAACAAGGGGTTGTAGTCGAAAGATCAAAATAGAAACGAGGTGCACCTTTTTTGATCTCCATAATTTAATATGCATCGGCCACTTACCTCCATGCATCTCACCAAAATATCTTTTGACYTAGAGAGTGTTTGGTGGGATTCCAACTAGACCTTCATTCGCTAAGGTCGCATTGGATGGTATTTCAAACCTTTGGAAGTCACCTTTAAAAGGCATGATGTAGCATTGTCCTTTACTCAGTATATACTGTTGACGCTGTGAACCAATGGTAGGAAATGATATAGATAAAATCCCCGTCGTATAGCAACGTCGATTTTTATAAGTCAAACCTTATGGGGAATACTTTAGTGAATTCAYGCTCTTAAATGAATTCTTGTTATTGCAGATGAATTCAAAAATATGTCTTTTTACATTCCATTCAGCTCACATATTTTACTCGCAAGAACCCCGATGGGAGGGGAATCCGGGGTAAAAGTACTGGGGATGCTCGTCAGAAAGTTTCGAAACGACCCCTAAAATATCCCGGAAGTCTTGAAAAAAGGGCGTGGCTGACTGATTTTTAACCCCTAAGAGATTGCGACATGTTATCCATTGACAGATCAAAGTTTTTTTTCCCAGAGTCTCAGCATGGATCATGAATGATCTATGGTCTCAAACATGAAACATTTTTTAAGCCTGTTATGTAAAATGAGCCTTATACCTCTTCGTAGTACTGAAGTAAAACGTATTTATTCCCATGCGGATCAAGACCGTCAACGCGAAGACGCAAGTTGGGGGCGTCATAGATCATGTCTCCATAAACCGCCTGTTGGAGTCGTCCTTGTGAGATGGAGTATATAAACTAAAGATATAAACAAGTGTTATAACAATGCAATATCTATATAATATATAGAGGATATTACATGGGCGCGCGGAGATACGGATTTTATCTTCGAGTGTTGAAAAGATCTCTCACGAGTGAGCATAGCGAACGAGTGAYAGATTTTCAACARGAGAAGATAAAATTCGTATCTCCAAGCGACCATGTAATATTCTGTTTATCATATAATTACATATGAAAGCAAATTGTGTCGAAAAACACCTTTTTTCTTACTTCCACTATATAGAAAAACCTTTAATGTGCTTTTTTCACTAGTGAAAATATCAACTTAACGAAATAAACAAATATAGGTATTTCATAGATAATTGTATGATAATAGTAGATTCAATATACTATAGTTCTATAGGACGTAAATATTTTCACAAATAGCCTGAATTGTCTTAAAATAGTCGTTTTTTGATCACATCAAATGATCGAAAATGCTGGAGTCGTGATGCAATGGCAAGTGTCATTTACATAGCATGAGATAATCTAATAAATAAAAGAAGAAATGAGAGAATCTAGAGTATTTTTAGGAGAAGTAGTTTGATTTGATAGAATCCCAGTATCAACATATAAAAATAGCAACACATAAAACAAGTAAACGGCACAAACACATACCGTGGCGAATGATCCAGAAAACTGCTGAGGTGGTTCTGTTCGAGAAATTATATCAAGTGAATTAAAGCGTATGATGAATTTACTGGACGTTGTGTCCAACAACAAAAAAGTTGAAAGGATAACAATTTTAACTCAAAAATTTCGACAGAATCCATTGATTTCAAGTGTTTTAACTTACGGCAAACAGACCCAGCATCAGAAAATGCAGCCACAACCAAAAAGAGCAGTCCTGCCAAAATTAACTTCATATTTAATGTTGTGTTGTTAGCTCAGCGTTGTACAAGGTGTCCGAGGGCTAGTGGTTGGAAGGCTAGTAGAAGCGTTTGCTTTATACAATCCTTTGCTGTCTAATTAACCACAAAGTTTTGATGGGAGGCAGCTTTTTCAACACATTGGACAAACTTTTCAAATTAACGAAACTATTATTTGAAGTGGCCTGTCAAATCTAAAGTTTTGTGTTGAAATAACTATTTAATTTTAGTAGAAATTAAAATCAAACTAGAGCCATAATTGAGGGGCGGGTCTTCGACCCATAGRTGTAAGGGGGGTGACTGGCCATRCCCTATTTTAAGATAACAAAGTACTTTAAAATGATGAAATTCGGGATAAACTTAATCTGAACATTGCACATTTTTATGCATTTTTCGGAAAATATTTCATACYTAACATAAGAGCMTCGCCATTGCAGAATGCTTCACGCAAAGACCTTTCAATAATTTCCCGACATTTTAATTTCGTTACATTTATTTTCACATCCACCCTCTTAAAAAGCCATAGATCCCCCTGGAAACTACTCGAGTTCAAGTAATTTTTCGGTTCCCAGTTTGAAGCAGCTGTGACAGTTGTGAATAAAAACTTTGTTGATAGGCCACATCTTGACAAGTAAATTGAATTGACCTCAAGTAATTACTTGTAATAATTAAATGCTTGTCTTTTGTGATTACAAAGCTGCTGTTTATAAATTGTGCTGTTCATTCAATTGCTTTCATCGAACACTCACGCAGAATTTTTTCACCACTGTTCCCTAGAGACCAAAAAGTGTTATTTATACTAAACTACTATCGATCATGCACTTAATAAAGTAGGTGCCGACATTGATTTTTACAAAGTTTACAAACGAAAGCTGTTTTCTTTTGTTGTACTTTTGCGGACAAAAAATAAATAAGAAACAAATGTAACTTGAAGATCAAATGGTTAAGAYTTGATATTACATCATTATTTTGAACTTTTATTTTGTACTTAGTACTTTTAATTGTCTTTATTTTCGCCTCTTTTGAGTGAACGCATCTTTATGTCAAAAGGGAAAAAAATACTTACAGTTACAGTGGAGATCAAATCAGTTTGATTAGATTCGAATGGCAAAGGCGATAAAAATATAATACCGTAACCAGATGTGATATCATTTCAGGACAGGACTTCTGAAGGGCGAAGGTGGTAAAAGYAAGGCCGATAACAACACGGTCATAATACAAGGGACAAACTGGCGTGGAAAAGTGGGGATATTTGCTAGCGACGGACGTAGCTATGAACAGGGTTAAATGTGGAAACCTTAAGGCCTGTTTACACTTGCATTTATGAAGCGCGATTGTCGCGCGKAAATCGCCTGAGTTTCGAACATGATTGAAATTTAGGTCGCCGCGACAATCGCAGGGCTGTTTACACACTACGATTTGCGGTGCGCGAGAAAAATGTGGCGCGATCACGCGACACAAGTGTAAACGGSCCTTTTGCACGCCTTATGTCGCGAAGAGAACCGATTATGATAAGGATATGATACTCTAAAAAGGCGAAGAAAAAAGTGAAGAATAAAGAGTAATCAATTAAATGTAGTACGCTTAATGTATGTTTCACGGATATATTTCACGGGTTTACTCTAACCAAGAAAAACCTGAAAATAACGAGTAGCAAAAAGRATAGTAAGCTAAAGTATATTCCTTGGGTTTATTAGATTTGACTTTGGCTTCTTCCACGAGTATTTAAACATTGATTTAACTATAATTGTTTATTCACTGTCTGGACGGGGGGTACCAGGYRCACCGCTAAATGTTGGCAAGTTTGTCACTTATGATTTCTGCACACATTATTTAAAATCATATTTTTTTGTTTTCTTAATTAACAAAACTATGTGAATCCAACTATGTTGTACTTTTTCCCCAAACCARCAAATCCTGATAATAATCTAGTTTTTGTGTACATGGGTTCGCCAGCCCGTTCTCTGCAAGCCCCTCCRTGTCACCAACAATCAATTAAACTGATTTTTTTTGCACTTGAAAAATTAAATGTTCAGCTGTTTTGTTCCAAAGCTGGGTTACCGCTTATTAACTTTAACTAACTTAATTTGATTGGATAAGACYGTATAAAGTCGAGCTCCAGCACACTTGGTTCTGCTATATGATACTGAATTCACTGAAGGCAGTTAGCTGAGCTTATCGAGGTATTGACAGAACTGAAGCAGATATGAAGTCAGTAATTGTAGGAGTGCTCCTTATCGCTGCAGTGGCTTTTGCCAACAACAATGACCAACAATGCCGTAAGTTTTAGTAACGATTGATATTTTCACAAAAAAAGGAGAGCAAGAGAGACTAATAGTTAGTATAAGACATTGAATTTAGTACGTCTTATTTTGTTTGGTTTTCTTTTTTTTAATAACAAATACAAACTAAATAGTCATTACCATTAAAAACACTCTTGACATTTCAATTCGTAGTTCAGGAGGAATGTCATTCATTGTACTTCTAAAGTTTTTCTTGAGGTTTTGTCCTAAATTGTTTAAAAAAGGTCATTCATGAGCCAGTCACACACCTTTTTTTATAAAAATCTTTTCTTCCTTCAAGCGCTTTATAATTCCATGTTTTCATGATTATTTTCTTTTAGATACACCTGAGCAATTCTCTGGAAATTATGCTGTGGTATYTATTAACTACAGTGAAACCCCGCCTTACGGCCACGGCCATAACGTTCAATTTTTTAGGACCCAACGAACTACAACACCTTCCATACTTTTGTATCCCGTTACTACGGTCGTTAATATCGGTGTCCCTTCGATGACCAGATAACGAGGTCCGAATGTGATTAGTGCACCTGAGAATAAATAATGTTGAGAGCAAACCCAAAAGTGAGAGGGATTTTCCAATCCTGTCTCGTATCCGTAGTCGGGCGGATTATTATCAGTGGGCGTGGCAATTGCTTTACTCCAATTCAATTCAAAACGATATGAGTTACATGCCAATAGGTGGGCATTATGGGAAAAATAAATAGATAAATAAATAAATGTAAATAAAAAAATCCAATTCTATTCATATGCGGATGGAAGCAGACAGATTTTGTKCCGATTAAATCTCGTATTTTTGACTTTTTTTAGTTCATGTACGACACTAGTAGCGGTTCGATCGATTCTACTCGTGGAAGAGTGACATACGATGGAGCTAACAAACGCATTCGRCTGGAGGGACAACACAACAATATGAGATACACAGTGATTCAACTTTTCAACCAGGTTAGTTTTACTCCGTAAACCGTGTAAACCGTGGTGGACTGGGTCAAATCGCCTAATTTGCATAGTYGTGATCTATGATTTACATGGAACGAAAGACCTTATTGAGAAGTGATGATAGAAACTCGATGATCTTTTGTCCGGGCGATTTCACTCTGGAAAAGAGTCACGGTTTTGAGGTCCCAGCGCCACACCCCCACCCAAGTTGTGGGGGATGAGTACCCCCCCCCCCTCCCCCCGGGATCTTTTGTAACAATATCCTCATGCTATGATCAATATGACATAATTTTATAACTAATCAGACATGCACATTATTATTTTTTCTTTGTAGGAGAAAGAGTATTTCATAACAGGTGACGGCAGCTGCATTTGGTCGAAACCTCAAATGTTTKCCAAATACGAAATACCATCCGATGCAAAGGGGGTAACAGGAGGTTTCATTGGTCTCACTTCACACAATCAGGTTTACGTAAACAGATACGCTGGCGAAAAATACGGAGGTATGTAGGACGGGACGGGATCTTACCGCWGTCACTTAATTCCCAGCACGTCATGGGTCCTCAGTTGTACTTATTTTCTTGTATGTAAACAACTTTAGCGAAGTACATCGTTACCGCRGCATATAAACGACCACAGTGTATGCCAGTAAGTGGAGTTGCCYTCGCAAAGACCAAAATCGTCTACTTCAGGTAAACTGTCTTAAATACACATTAGCAACCGGCATTCAATGKGGTCGTGSTCTAGGTGACCTATCGCTATCCGTWTCCCCATCCGTCGGTTTTAAGCGGATATCTTTCAATTATATTTCTATTCATAGAGCTTAAAGGGATAAAAAGAGTAAGTGCGTTTTTATTGACTCTTACTGAATGGATTTTTTTCTCTCAAAACATTCCAAAAGCACGCAAGGGACGCCGGTTTATCATGACCCATAAAAACAAAAGTAATAATTAGTGGTAGCAATAATATCAAAATGTGAAAGTAACCGAGCGAGCAAGTCAGTAGTTTCTGATTTAAGACATGGAAACCGTGAGCTCAAATACATTAGACCCATAATTCCTTTCGACRATACAAAAATAAACTATTCCTAATATTTTTTTTTAAATTTATATTTTCAACGCAATGATTAGTTTGATATACCCTAGAGTCAAAAATTAACTAAAGAAAAAAACATATTTTATCTAGTTTGACTGAGGTGGACTTGCATGTTGATGAAAACATGTTTAACCCCCCCGCACACTGTCAGCATGAAGGAGGACGTCGACGAAGAGKRGCTGGTAATATCCTGGACAGCCTAAAATTTATGMTTTTTTAGACAACTCACGTGACCTGATATCAAGGATTGATAAACAATGGTTTAAGAAAGTCTTGCAGATTAGTTAAATAAATAAACTAAGAAAAGAGCATTGAATTTGTATGGTCGCACTCTTTACTAGAAGCTGCTATTGCTGCTATGACTACTACACTCCCCACCCCCACCCCCACAACAACAACAACAACAACAACAACAAAGAAAGCGGTATTAAATATTACATTGGAAGTTCGTACAGAAATAATTTCATCATCTTGCTTTGGATCTAGTTGTGTTCATAGTATTTGACTAATCACGTTTAGAGTGTACATCAAATGTCTCAAATCAGATTCATATTTATGTTGTAAACACCTCTTAAAGGATAATTAAAACAAAGAGCCACACTGACGTCATGGGGTTTTAGTCATTGCTTATGCAAGTTGATCTATTGCACCAATATCTGCGCCGTTATATACTTCAAGTAGCTCTTGGAATCGATGTATGAGTATTCCTTGAACTCTTGACGTCATAAAACTTAATTCAAGTGCCTCAATGTAATGTTGATAGCATCTCATGGCGATAAGTGTGCGACGATGAGGACATACAACCTTGTCAAAAAGAAACTCCATGACCATTTTGTTTTTCTCTAGAACTTTCACGAATAAAAATATGAATTAAAATATAATCCTTTGTGCTAATATGGCGGTGTCATATCACACTGTGAAAGTCCTGKACGGAATCTGCACATTGTAATAAAGGTTTACATCCATGGTATTAGATTGCCGGAATTCGCTTATCATTCAAAATATTTTTGACTAGTCATAAAGCCGAGAGACATTGTATCTCACTACTACTAATAAATTCATTCTAACTGGACCAGCTAACTTGCTTTCTTCACCCTACAAGTAGTCTTACCGACCTTCTTCACTCACTAGGGAGTACTGGGGCAGATGTTGCATTCAGCTATGGTCTAATACTAGAATACTATTGAAACCACTTCAAGTGCTTTGATCAGGGTTCTTGATATCAATGCAGCCATAGTTAATAGACGAGTCTCCTCTATTAATTATGATGCAGCTAAAGATCGAGGCAAGACACACAAAGTTTGATATGAGAATTGGCTTCGGCAATAAATCAATACGATTTGGAGTAGCTGACAGGTACTAGTAAAATAATGACGTTTTTGTAATGGATGATTTCCTTTCTTTTTCTTAAGTGTTTTATCGCATGAGATAAACCAGGAAATACGGAAGTCATCTCTCAATCTATATTTGCACTGAAAATAAAGTCTTGTGTATGTCATTGTGAAACCCGGAAACATTCGTTTTCAAATGCGCAATTGATTGTACCAGCGCGTTGAGGACAACAGTAACTGCGTAATTCCAAAAAGCATGGACAAGTCAAGCGCTTTTTGTATTCAGTTCAACTCTCATGAAGACATCAGTCCAAGTGAAGACGGGAGAAAGAGTCTTTTAGCTATTGGAATTCTCAATTGTATTGTAGCTTTTCCAACCACAGCCTTCAATTCATTGATTATCTATGGCATTGCTTCAACGCCTGTTTTGCAAACACCTTCGTATATTTTATTAGCAAGCCTCGCTCTTACGGACCTTCTAGTTGGGATGCTAGCACAACCTCTGCAAGCTGCAATGATGCTTTACTATCGCGATGGAAGTCTCGAAGTGTATTGCTCGTCCATTCGGTCTTTCGCAGCAGTAGTTGCAGGTACTGCTGGAGCGGCTTCAATTGGTACAGTGACTGCGATTGCCATCGACAGGTACTTGGCAATACGATTGAAGATTCAGTACAAGTCCATCGTTACAGTAACAAGAGTTAAAGTAGCTTTGCTTCTGTTGTGGGGATTCTMTATTTTGATGGCGTCTCTTCCATTTTTTGTCCCTCTTATACCAATGAGCATTCTAGCCAGTTGCTTGGTCTCAATATGCTTAATTGCCACTGTAATGCTGTATGCTCTTGCATTCAAAGCCTTAAAAAGACACTATGCACAAATTAACCAACAGAATAATGAACCCAATCAATCCAGTCCAACCATTGATATCGAAAAATACAAAAAGCTTCTTAAAACAATGTTTATTATCCTCGTCTTCATTGTACTGTGCTACTCCGTCATGGCAGTGAATATTGGTCTGTTTTCAAACCAACATCAACCAAGGAGCATTCTATGGGGCTTAATGAGCATTGTAGGTTTAAATTCTACCTTTAACCCAGTGATATATACACTACGAATGAGAGATCTTCGGCATACTTGTATTAACATTGTTCGAAAACATCTCAAGTTGGGGAGGAAACGCCAGTGTACTGGCCGCCCAGCCAAGGATCCTAAACCACAAGTCTAAAAATGACTTGGTGAGCAACGAGCCTGGAGAGCTTTGATCCAATGCGTCCTATTGGTGCAATAACAAGTTTCAATTAACAATCTGCAAAAAACTGTTTTGATGGAGAACGTGCAGATTGTACTAAGGCCTATATAGAGTTGGGAATTTTGTTAAAGGGACACTGTCAATGGCACGCATGCGCGAGTAAACTTGAAAACACTAGGCTGGTGTTTTCAAGTTTATGACTCCAAGTTGGCGCGACATAAATCAGCTCGTAAACGTAAACAGATCTAGAATATTCCAAAGTGTATCAAAAGCACCACAAAATGATTTACCTCCTCGAAGGTAATACTTTCAAAGTCCGTTAGAGGTGAGACTGTTACTGCGCATGTCATCCATTGACAGTGTCCCTTTAAATCGCTACTCAATGTTTGTTTCTTTGTTTTTGGAGGATGCAACACCATCCTTGTAGAGCATTTCAGCTTGTCTTAACTTAAATAGTTATGCAGTCTTTATTTTTAGAAAATTGACTTACTTAATATGTTGAGTACAGGATTATGATAAGCAATATTTTAACAATGCACTTGAAACTACTCCGCGTGATGACAAGCTCAATGATCACTGAATCCTTAGCAAAGCAAAATGTCATCTCTTAGGAGGACACGGATTGACTTTTCTAAGTTCATCTCTATTACGAAGTCAGCGTATAATTTTAAAGCTTCGATTTTATCATATATTCACGCAACAGTTAACTACGGTCACAAGTAGCAAAATCAGACCGATCTTACTCATATGATATGAGCTACCTTCTTTCCCTCCAATAGCCAAGGTAGCGGCTCTATGTGAGAGGAGGGGGGGATACTGCATCAGCACAAACATATTCCGTTAAAGAAAATACCTATTAAAAAAACCCTAAATTTCCTTGAAGCAAAGGTGATTTCCTAAATGACTGATGGCAATCATAACGACCACTATGACGCACTTCTGCCCACTTCAGTATGTTT